TGGATGGATGGATTGGATGGATTGGATGGATGGATGGATGGAGTGGATTGGATGGATGGATGGATGGATGGAGTGGGATGGATGGAGTGGGATGGATGGAGTGGGATGGATGGAGTGAATTGGATGGATGGATGGATGGATGGAGTGGGATGGATGGATGGATGGATGGATGGATGGAGTGGGATGGATGGAGTGGATTGGATGGATGGATGGAGTGGATGGATGGTGTGGATTGGATGGATGGATGGTGTGGATTGGATGGATGGATGGATGGAGTGGATTGGATGGATGGAGTGGATTGGATGGAACGGATTGGATGGATGGGTGGAACGGATTGGATGGATTGATGGAATGATGGATGGATGGATGGATTGATGGAATGATGGATGGAATGATGGATGGATTGAATGGTTTGATGGATTGAATGGTTTGATGGATTGAATGGTTTGATGGATTGAATGGTTTGATGGATTGGATGGTTTGATGGATTGGATTGTTTGATGGGTGGATTGGATTGTTTGATGGGTGGATTGGATTGTGTGATGGGTGGATTGGATTGTGTGATGGGTGGATTGGATTGTGTGATGGGTGGATTGGATTGGATTGAGGGGTCGATTGGATTGTTTGATGGGTCGATTGGATTGTTTGATGGGTCGATTGGATTGAGGGGTCGATTGGATTGATTGATTGAACGGATTGATTGGTCGGATTGATTGGATGTATTTGTTTGTGGGATTGATTGGATGTATTGGTTGGTCGGATTGATTGGATGTATTGGTTGGTCGGATTGATTGGTTGGTTGGATTGAATTGATTTGATCGATGGATGGATTGATTGATTGGATTGATGGATTGATTGATGGATTGATTGATTGGTGGATGGATGGATGGATTGATGGATGGATTGATGGATGGATTGATTGATTGGATCGATCGATTGATTGGATTGATGTATTGAATTGATTGGATTGATCGATGGATGGATTGATCGATGGATTGATTGATTACATGGATTGATGGGATGGATTGAATGGATTGATTAATTGGATGGATTGATTACATGGATTGATTGGATGGATTGATGATAGGATTGATTGGCTGGATTGATGGATTGGATTGATTGCTGGATTGATGGGTTGGATTGATTGCTGGATTGTTGGGTTGGATTGATTGATGGATTGGATTGATTGCTGGATTGGATTGATTGATGGATTGGATTGTTTGCTGGATTGGATTGTTTGCTGGATTGATGGATTGGATTGATTGAATGGATTGATTGATCGGATTGATTGAATTTTTTAATAAAAATCTTTAAAAAGTTTCGGATCATGGGTTTTGGTTTGGTTGAGAACTAAAGAGTACTACAGTACTACGTATGAGCACTGTACGTACTGCACGTTAAGGCTGATGGATTTCGATTCGTTTAATTTTCATCAAAAACTGTAAAACCTATATGGACGTTGGAGGAAGAAATATAATCTACGTACGTTTCCTTGAATTTCAAAATCCCTGCCCCCCACTCTTTTACTGTATGCATAGTTGAATGATGAATAAAAGTACCAAGTGAATTTACAAGCTTGTCATTTTAGCAGCCGAGCAGTGACGGATCCAACCGATCATTGGGCGGGGGTCATAGATTTTTATTTTTATGCAACGTAAATAAGCGTTTCAAGATATTGTTGTATCAAAAACATTCACACACAAACAACTGAGTTTAGAACGTGTTACGATGTATTTTACACATATATTTTTGGTTTTATTTTTCAAATTTTTTGTGGTTTCCAATATTTTTCTTATCTTTCTTTTTCCTGCATCTTTTTTATTTCCTTGTAGGTCCCTGGATCTGATACTACTGTTAAGTAATATATGTATTTTATTATGTGTTTATGTTCTAATCTGTTATGGTGCGGTTATCTGTTTGTATTTAAATCCCCGAAGTTGGAATTGCATGTTCACCCTTAAATAATATTTTTGTATTATCCAGCCAACCAGACCATATTCCATAATCGGAAACTTTGTGTATCGGAATTTTTGCGCAATAATTGCAACGGAGAGCCACTTTCGCTGTTGTTGCAGGCGGTGGTGACGCGGTGGCGCGCCGACCCGTGGGCGCGGGGCGCGTCCTCGTTCGCGGCGGCCGGGGTGGGCGAGGAGGCGGCGGAGGCGGCCCGCGAAGCCCTCGCCGCGCCCGTGGCCGCCCCCGGCCCAGGCCCAGACCCAGCGGCCCCGGCCCCGGCCCCGGTCCCGCGGCTGTTCTTCGCGGGCGAGCACACGAGCGCGCGCCACCCGGCGACGGTGCACGGCGCGCTGCTCAGCGGCCTCCGCGAGGCGGCGCGCGTCGTCTCGCTCCTCGGCGGCCCCGCCCCCGCCCCCGCCGCCATGGGCTAACGGCTACCAGCTCCTTCGCAGACCGCGTGTTTACCACATCGTGACACACGGGCAGTTTTGTACAGCACGAGTTTTGTACCTCGATGAGTTTGCTATGGTAGTAAACTACAAGATGATACTGTTCCTAACTTACAAATGAAAAGCAAGCGTTCATCCCTTCGAGCTATATCAAGTGAATCAACCGATTTGGTTGTTTGCTCCACATTTGGCTTTTCAATGTTAACTTAAATTTCTCCTCCTCACAATGATTGATAAGCAATGAACATTCCACTTGTACAATTTGTTATGACTTATTACCAGTGTATGGTAGTGCATGTGTTGCATAGCGTCGCACCCCTGAGGCCGCAATCTCACTGCCCTGTGCTACCCATTGCACTGTCCCATTCACTAACTCTCTCTCTCTCTCACACACACAAACACACAACCTCACTCACATAAGTCATGCCATCACCCTCCACCCTATTTCGACCAATGATTGTTACTATGAATTCTGGGTATCAGTCTCTTCTCTCTTTTATGTCATTGTCAATAAGTTTGGAGTGCAAATCCATCACCTTTTCACTGATTGATAAGCCAGAAATATTGCACTTATAGGTACAAGTATGATTATGATGAAGGTGAGGTAGTGCGTTAGGTGACGCAGCTCAAAGGAAGCTAAGTCCTACATCTGACACCCATACACCTCATTCTCTCATATTCTACGACTTTTGGTGTATCCTTTACTAAGTTACTCCTTCATTACTTACCTACCATCCACTCCCAGTAGTCCAAAAATGGTACCAAGAATTTTTGGTAACTACTGTTTGCTCCTGTTTTTCACTTTGGTTTTTGTACCAAGAGTGAAACAAGGTTCTTCCTCCCCGACACATACTGACTGATCTTTAAAGGGTTTGTTAATCTTTGAATTTAATAACTCTTTTCATTCACAATATCATTACACTGCAACTGCATAGCCTATCTCTACCTAAACAAATGCTTTATGGGACGGTAGTAAACACTATCAAAAAAACCATGCTGTGCCTAACTTTTTAAAATTTTTTGAGAAGACTGTTTTTTATTCAAAAAATGACGTAATTGTACTTAGGCCTTATTCCATTTTTAACCCTGGCCCTGATCCACAAAAACCCATGGCAGCTCAATGCCTTCACACGAGCCCCTGCATGACGTGTCCACCTTGTCTTCAACCTCTTTTATCCTCGAGCGATCCAAAGACGATTTCTAACAAGTTTTTGTTCTTACAGCTAATAAGTGCGCAAAGCACAAACCTGTATACCTGCTTCCCCATCCCATACTCCTCTAAAAATGATTTTGCTGCACTGCATTAGAATGTGTTTTTATAAAAACATACCGAACAGCAGCATTAGAATACTAACTAACTAATGGTAAATCATGTGTACCATAGTAGCTGTAGAGAATTTTCTTTAAAAAATCTTTTTTACTCTTTGGATTGTATGTAAAGATTGTATGTAAATTTCAGTTTTATTTGTTTATGTAAAAATAATTGTCAGTTTATTTTTATTATTTTTGTAACCATATTCCAGATATGAAGGAAGTTGTATTTGCCTAGATTTCAAGTGTTAACAAATCTGATGAGGCACGTTTTCTTTTATTTGTTTATTTTTTTATTGAGTAAAATTTTTCACGGTCAGAAAAGAATTCATTCAAAAGAAGTTGACCCAAATATTTAAACGCCTAGATGTATTTAATTTATTTTGCACAATTTTCATAAAAACATTCTGTAGTTAGTAATTTTGTTCTTGTGTTTCAAAAATTACACTTTTTACTTAATGTTGTAATTAAGAATTAAGCATGAAAAATAATTTCATTGAATAATGAGTGAATTAGTTAGTTTTGTGAAAGAATATGTCAGTTCACTTTAGCTAAATAAAATACTGTAAAACTTTGCGATAAATTGTTTATCTTATTTAATATAATCAATTTCATTTGAGAAGAAACAAATTCAACAAAAGGGGGAAAAAATATTGAAAGAGTGAAATATTGAAACTGACTGGAAAAATACTAATTGAAACTAGTGGTGCAGTAAAATAATTAAACAGCACATACTTTCTCACCATTAATAATCGCTATTTAATACTATTTTTACCACAATTTCTCTGAGTTATTTTTTGTAGAACTCGTTTGAAATTGTGGAACATTTAATGTGAAAAATAAGCAGAATGTGAAAAAGTAAAGTAATTAAAAGTTAATAAATAATACGATACTGATAGCATTGGCAAACAAATGCAAACAGATCGAAAAATATATAATTATTATTGCAAGCCTATACATTCCTTAGTAGGGCAAAGGCCTCCTGCTTAGTGCAAGGTGGTCCCACATCACCTGAATGAATCTTCAGGTGACTGAGATTAGTCGTCTGCTTCAGTGATATTTACCAATACACTTAAAACAACTATTAAATCTAATTAAGTGTTCAGTATCTTTTCCATTGTTCACTGTCCCTGTTCACCAATACACATAGGAAATTATTGCTTTGTACACACATGGTTCTTCACTATTCTCCAGCACACATGAAACCTCTGTTTAGGTAGGTGTTCTTAATCATTTACACAAGTGACTATCCTTCACACTAATACATGCAGAGCATCGGCGTTTGGAACATACATTGTTCATCACTGTTCGCCCGTGCACCGATAGCATCTACAGTAAAGTATGTCTAAACTGGAACCTGTACAAGCCGGAAACCTATCTTGACCGGAAAATTTCTCTGGCCCGTGAAGTTAAATAGCATTTTACACAGCATGAAACGGAACCTCTCCAATGCAGGGACGGAACTGTTTTTCATGTCCTGCAGGGGAAAATCTTTATGAAACGGAATTCCTGTGAATTTACTGCAATTGGCAGAGATACGCGAGATGCTCTTAATGAAATGAAGGCATCAGCAAGCTGTTTTTTAAAATTCTCTATTACTGCGACCCGCGATTTAATCGTGGCAACCGGACATTGTGGGAGGGGGGAATGCTTCAACTGTCTTGGTCTTTTCCACTGTTCACGGTCCTTCGCCACTCTAGTCCTCTCTAGACTACTGCCTTCTTGGAGTAGACAGACCATCTAGTTTCCTGCCGGCCTTGTCTCCAACCCACTCGAGGGTCCGATACTGATGCAGCGTGGGTCCACCTTTGGTGCTCGAGTCTCAAGGTCCCACCCCGTTTCCATTTAACACATGTTGCTTGTTCTGCCGTATCTCGAATGCCACTTTTTATTCTAATAACCGACTTGTGTATTCTATATTTTATAGCAATGTAGAGCATCTTTCTGTCCATCTTCAGTTGACATATTCTCAGCATATTATTGTCTTTCTGCGTTAATTACCACGTCTGGAACCCACGCAACAAAACCGGTAATACACAAGAGTCCAAAACCGTTCCGTGTTACGTTTACAAGGATATATTTACAGCTTATCCCCAACTAATAATGAAAGGAGACCTAAACAGTAAATTGTATACAGTTTGAGAATGCCATACCACTACAGCCCAAGGTCAAATGCTTTTTAATTTGGCTCAAAATAATAATAATAATAATAATAATAATAATAATAATAATAATAATAATAATAATAATTTTGTATTAGCTCCTACGGCCACGACTCATTTTCCATGCAATTAAAATATAGTTACAGATATTTTAGATAAAGTATTAATCAAAAATATAAATTTTCCTATCTTCCAAAGTGTATTACACGTCCTTCAATCAGATCACAGCCCTGTACCAATAACTTTTTTTTTTTTTTTGAAAACCAATAGAAGAAATGAAATCAAAAACAAATGTTACAGCAAGAGTAAACTGGCCCAAGTTTTCATATCTAATGGAAAAAAACGACTTATACCCCAGACATATTAAATCTATATAAGATCTACAATTCGAAATCGTAAAATTTAATACAGCTATCAATGAATCATTAATAAAAGGCTTCTTCACTAAAAAGCAGAAATTGTTCTTGCAAGAATGAGCCCATTACAATACGGTTATTAAATTAATTAAATCCAAGCGAAACCTGAGAAGATATTGGCAAGAAACACGTAGACACGATATCGGATCTAAACTAAACAAACTATCGCGAATAGTAAAATTACAGCTAGACAAATTCAGATGCTATTACAAATTTCAACAATCATTAAAACAACTGGACAGAAATTCTGCTCATCTCTGGCCAATAGTCAGAGTTATCACGGGAGAAAAAATCGTTTCGTAGGCGTATCTATATTCAAGTGCCTGTTCTTGTTCATTCATAATTGTTCTATTTGGCCCTTTAGTTTTTAACAGACCTTTTTAACTATTGTAGTGTGTACATAACCCTATGAACATGCATTTAGTATTAGTTTTTTTTATTGCAACAGTTTCCAGGAAATAATTGTCATTATGTATCATGCTTTTTACAACTATCAGTTAATCATAATATAGTATTACGGAGAGATATTATGATTAATTAATGCGACGAATGACATCTAATATGTTTCGATTGGTGCACGAGAAGTGGTCTAACCGTGAGTGACGGATGCGCACACACTCTCAAAGTTACTTAAATACTGTAGAGGAATTATTTTTTTCTCAAAATACATAAAAAATAAATATTTTATAATATAAATTTGAAGATCCGCGAAATGAAATGTCTAAATTTATTTTATTTAAATTTGTCCCAACATGGAAGGCAGTATTATTATTATTATTATTATTATTATTATTATTATTATTATTATTATTATAATTTATGTTTTGGTTAAAGATTTGACTGTAATATTTGATATATATTTATCTGCAATAAAAAAATATGAAATTTCCTTTCATATTATAAAGAAAAATAAATGACGGTCTGGAAATTGTATTAATGACATTCCCATTCGCCCCCATTTCGTATGCTAATTATTAAATCGTTCGAGAATCCGTTTTGGACAAACGGATCATGAAGACAAAGCGAAAAGAAAAAAAAAATACGGATCACACACGTCTCAATACTATATTTCCTCGTGTGCTTTCTTTATGATAAATTTAATTAAGTTTTATTTTATGTGTCTTTCTTTGTGATAAATATATTAAATAATATGAAACATACAAAATAAGAAATTCTCGTAAAAATCTAGTTTCAAATGTCCCGCAATTTCAGCCCAATTCCAGCATTCCAGAACCATGACGTGTGAGTATGTGTGACGTGTGAAAAACGTTTCAAAGCTTTGCTGGTAGATAGCTTAAGGAGCGCCTTCCAAAGAACATTACGCTCTGGGTCGCTTTTGTTCCAAACTGGCAGTCTCCATTTTGGACCCTCAACAGCATGCTGCGAACAGAACAGAAGGAAGTTCATGAAAGTTAGAAAGGGGATAACCACATAACACAACTGAGTGGTTATATTACTGAAATCATGCGTAATGATATTATTAAGAAATTATTTTTCCATGAAAGACTAGAATGTTTTTAATACTAGGGGGGGGGGGGGAATGATTACTCCGAATTACAATCTTTAAAAATGTATACAAAGTATTGAATTAAATATACTCTTCGCTTCTAACATGCAAGAGCGATAACAGTTTACTTTTATTAAATAGGCCTATTATCTCTATATCTTATTGTAATAAAAATTAAGAGATTTTTAAAGAGAGAAATATCTTACATAAAAACTACCTGCTTCATTAAAAAATATTTATCAATAGTTTAAAGTAGTTTCATATCTTCTTTTCATGCTTTTAAATGTCTATAATTTTAATACAGTGATTTTCAATACTGAGTAACTATGAATCAACTATAAGAAATTCAATTGAGTACGAGTACCATTACAATTAATCTTCAGAATGATGACTTTATATTTGTCGAAGATACTTGAAAATTAACAGATGTTTGGAAAAACAAAGAATATTTTATTGATTACTCCCTTTGAAGTTGTCGCTAAACGAATGTAGAAAATGAGAAAGAATGGAAAGAAATCAATCAACATCAAAAATGGTTCAGTGTATACATAGCTAATTGTTAGCGCTATGATTTTGTTAGAATTTATTCTAATGACAGGAGTCTTGGGAAGACATTTCCAAAAATGAAATACTTTAATAAAATTGAAAGTAATTTTTAAGACACATTTATTAGTGAATACTGATTTTATGCTATATTTGTCAATGAGGTTTGTACACAAAATTAACATTTTACTTTTACCAATCAGCAAAATCTGTATGTTTTATATTTTAACCATATTAAGAAACATATCGAAATATATAGGGCCTATAACATTATTATTATATTTTTAAGTTTGTGCTATTCTAATGTTCTACGTTAGCCCACTTACAGTTTTTTTAATAAAGACCCCTGTAATAAAATATTTATTTTTATCAACAATAAGTACGCAAAACATTCGTTTATATGTATTATTATTATTATTATTATTATTATTATTATTATTATATTACCATTATCATTATTAACTGCCCCTAAGAAAAATCTACATTTCATACCCTACGGTATACCTATTTTTGTGAACTACATTATCATTTTTAAAAGTAACATGTATAATTCTCTGACTAATCATCTTCGAATGCCTCAAAATGGCGGCTTCGTAAGTAACATTGGTGGTCAGACCATTTTCACACACTCTGGTTCCACGGAGACTGGAAATTGTGGACGCAAGAATAAGGAAAGGGGGAAGGGGCATAAGGCGTGTAGGGGAAGGGTGTGTTGACGCCCAACGTCGTGAAGTGAGTATCTAGTTTTCGACATTTAGAAGACGTGTAATTACGTTTTTGTACTCGCATTGTGTATATTGTTACTATTATTCTTTATATGTAATTTTATATTGGTGACTTAATGTTTAGACCATTATTATGGCGTATTTTGCTTAAACATCGGAGGCCGGAATTGATTCAAAGCAAAATGGCTTCTACTTTTTGTATTATGTTATTTTCGGTGTACTTGTGCACATTACTTCATGTAGTCGTGCAATTAACTCAATTCATTGTATGAAATTAAACATTTCTATGTTAGTGGTTTTGAATTGTGTAGATGTTGATTTATTTTAACTATGCAATTTACCTTCCGTGCTGAATGATGACTCAAGGAGAGAATCTCCAGTTCACAGTAGCCGTATTAGTCTTAACAGCCTCTGTGTTGATTATTTAACTAGAAGCTGCTTTGTTCAATTCTTGCTACAGTATTAATTATCAAAAGTCATATTGACATCGTAACTTGATTATTCTTAGGTTTTAGGAGTTATCATCATGCAGACGATAAAGTGTGTGGTGGTCGGAGACGGAGCAGTAGGAAAAACGTGTCTCCTAATTTCGTACACAACAAATAAATTTCCATCAGAATATGTGCCAACTGTAAGTATCTTGTTGTTATGGGGCATGTTAATGAAGTACTTGAACGATTCCCTCCCGTTTAGTATCCGTGTACACTGCCGTTATTTAATGGATATGACACTTGCAAGAATGAAAGAGAAGTTTTAGATAAAGAGCTAATAGCCATTTCATTTCGCTATCTTTTAAAGAACTATTGAATCATTTACTTTTGTAATTACCTTGTTGCCCTAGCTTCGTACTCAAATATTTTATTGTGTAATTTTCTACACTTGTGAAAATGTCACTTAATCTGAAATCTTATAACCATCTATTTTGTCCTTGAATTCATTGTCCGAAAATTCGTAAGAATGAATTTTAAAACTTAATATTTTATTTTTGAAATAAAACTACTGGTTTTCAATAAGGTTTTTTGATCTAACTAAATCAACAATAAGAAGGAGAAAATGAGTGTTATTTAAAACATCTAGTGCATGATTTCAGTTCAATCTATGAAGAAATACTAATTCGTTTATATTATTAATTTTTACAATGGATTGAAGAATTAATAAATATTTAGTACACAAACTCGTAGAGGTCTACAAAACCTAATAGAATTTTTAGACTTGCATTGTGTGTTTATTTTGAACTGTTATCAATTGCAATACTAATTCCAAGCATCACATTTTTTAAAAGCTTCATGCTGAATTGAAGGGGAAATCTTATGATGGTAGTTATAGTAATTTAAAACTAGTTGCACTGTGTGTTGTTTTTGTGGGAAAGTATTCATTTAATTGCTGTGCGAATGTGTTTAAATCATTAATTGGTAACGTCAAAAAGTTGTAGGGTTCCTGTTGCTGTTGCAATGTTTCAACTCTTTCTTTTTTCTATTTATTATTTGCTTCCTTGCAGAACTAAGACAATATTTTGGTTTAAAACTAGACAAAGCATGTTGAATCTATATAGTGTATGGATACTTAAAAAAGGAAATTGGAGTTAGTTTCTGGAGTTAAATCCTGAAAAAAGTAATTTTTCACCTTTCTGTAAATGTACTGTTATTTTTAGGTATTTGACAATTATGCTGTTACTGTTATGATTGGTGGTGAACCCTACACACTTGGTTTGTTTGATACTGCAGGTATGACTTGCTAATTTATTACTATAGTTTTATTTCAAATTTTATTGAATTATTTATTTGTGTTGAAAATCTTATCATTGGATAAAGATTTGTTTATGTAATATAACAGGACAAGAAGATTACGATCGTTTGAGACCCTTAAGTTATCCACAAACTGATGTTTTTTTGGTTTGCTTTTCTGTGGTATCTCCTTCTTCGTTTGAAAATGTGAAAGAAAAGGTGAGGATCTGAATATATGTACTTATTTACTGAACAAAAACTGAATAATTAAACTTGTAGTTTTATTAATTTCTTGTAATATGGTTAGAAATAATTTTTATCGTGATTTTGCAGTGGGTTCCAGAAATAACACATCATTGTCAGAAAACACCTTTTCTACTTGTTGGTACACAAATTGATTTAAGAGATGATGCTGCAACAATTGAAAAATTAGCTAAAAACAAACAAAAACCAATCACTTTTGAACAAGGAGAAAAATTGGCTAAAGAATTGAAGGCTGTTAAATATGTTGAATGTTCAGCATTAACTCAAGTAAGCACATTATTTGAAATTTTAGTTTATTTATTTATTTTTTTTACAGTTTTTGCATGAGACATTGTAAAAAAAATGCACATGATTAAATTCAGTAATCTATATCTTGCAATAATAATGTGATATTTGTCAGATGTTTGTAATTTGTTAGATATTTGTGCTCCAGAAACCATTTTTATTTCCTTTCTTCACTTTTAAAATAGGTTTAATAAAATAACAATTCTCATCTTGTGTAGATTATTACTAATAGCTTTTCTCCAATTAAAATTTAAGTACATCTGACAGGTTATAAGGATGGAAGAGATTATCCAATCAGGAATTTCAATTTTGAGAAATTGAAGCTCCTTATTGGATAACTGTGTCCCAACTGGTCAGTTGTGAGATATGCTTAAATTTGAAATGGAGAATATAATATTACTTTGCCTGTGACAGAACAATGCTAGATGAGTAAGTAAAATTAGTAAAATATGTTGTATTAGTTCTCATTCCAATGTACCAAAGGAAGAGCTGTATAGTTGAATAGAGAAAGAAAAGCATCACAATTTGAGGTATAGAAAACTTCCTCTAAATTTTGCTGATCAAAAAAGATTTTGCAGGGTAATTGTGATCATCGAGAATTCTTAGTTGGGAAGTTGGATTATCTATAAAAAATGCTTCTTTCTTAAAAAGTTTATATTTGGGTGCTGTGCACATTGTATTATATGGAAAAGCAAACTGTTTATGATGTAGCGAAATAGCCGCTGTGCATGTGGGGTAATTGCATAATAATGGGGTTAGAAATATGAATCCGTGCATGTGGGGTTTCAGAGATACTATGAGTAAATTAAATGATAATGGCAATTGAAATTAAAAAAATGTATAATATATAAAATATTTGTCTTATTGTCAGATAAGTTTTAGTAATCTAATAATGTATTGCTTCAATTAGTCATCAACTTAACAGTTGTTTATTTCATGTGGTCACATTGTCAATATGAAATTTGTTTTAATTCTCATGCCTCGCAAAATATGAAATGTAATGTGATATGTGGAATATAGTATGATATTTCTATTTTACTTAATATACATTTTTAAAAAACCCTATTGCTTGAATTGTTTAGGGGATTGTGGACAAGTTAGCTCATGTTTTTATTTTATCTCATTCTTTGCATGATTTCATTTCATTGCTGCAAAAGTAGTTTGTGTGAACATAAACTTTCCTCTTGCAATTTTTTTCTGAAAATTATCTCAAGAGACAGTTTTGTTGCTTTTTCTACATTCCATTAATAGTTGTTTCCGCAACTGCAGTGTTAAAGTTCATAAAAATTGTAGGATTGTTTTTTGAATTACGTGATATAAGTTGAAGGCTTAACCCTGTTGTTTTCAAATCTTGACATATGAAACTGATATTTTAATTTTTAAGCGTTGGATAATATTTTACCCTTGATTTGCAGTGAATAATTACATAATTTCCAAATTGTTGCTTTAGGCAAAGTAACAGAAATTACTAAAATTGTGACAACTATATAGGATTATCGGAATTGGGAATATGTTAATTTCTTGTTCTCTTAAATGCAGTAATGTTAAAAAATAATTAAGAAACTTAATTATTTCAAACTTATCTATTTTACTAACATTTGCTCTGTGCCATCCAGTGGTCAGTGCATTTCTTTCGACAGAATGTTGGAATATTTTATAAAGAATCAGGATGCTACAAAGTTTTTTACTTCATGATTGGGATCCAAAAGGTCATTAGAACTTGAATTACCTCATGTTTGCTTCCAAGACGCAGAAATGACTGTTAAAAATTGCCTGCATAGCTTTCATTTAAACAAGATGAACCATAGGTTCATCTAAATTTTGAAATTACTCTAAAGTCTCACAGAACAAAATAATATTTTGCATGTAGTGGCATAGGCTTATTGTCAATAGGCAAATTGATCTAAATAACCAATGGATGGTGCTTTCTTGTTTATTAATATTGTTGTTTAAAGGTTATTTATGATCATAATACACCAAAATTCTATGTTCAGTTAATTGCAACATTCTATGAATGATGTAGCTAAATGAGAATACCAAGAAAGTTTTATCTTGCTTTAGAATGTTTAAAGGTAACAGTCATTTGTTTTAATTCTTTTTCTTCTTCTTCTTCTTTTGTTAGGATCTTTTCGGCAATCCAAGGAATATAAACTTTGCATGACTTTTTTTATAATTTCGTGTTATATATTTTATTTTTGTAATTATTGACGAATGTTGATTTACAGAAAGGGCTGAAGAATGTGTTTGATGAGGCAATATTGGCTGCTCTGGAGCCACCAGAACCTGTGAAGAGGAGAAAATGTGTTCTTCTGTAAATATAAAAAAAAGCGCCAAGAGAATAGGCGATCAAAATTATATAAGGTAAAGTAAGTACTTAAATTTTAATCTGCTTTCAATTGCATGCAAGTGGGAAAAGGAAATAAACAAGTTATTAATTATTTGTATATGTGATTATCAATGTATTTTGGTGAAAGATTCTTAGAAAGTGTGGAAATATTCATATTTTTAAAGAAAATACCATTGTCATTGGAAAATTCCCTCTCCCTCTTAATATGAAATCATGTAATTAACATTTGATGCTTAGGGTCAATTTGGCTTAAAAACAGCTCTGACATACAAGAATGGCATGCCTTCTCACAATAAGAAAATCAATGTAACTACATCTTACTCTTGAAGTGTTTACCAAGTTTCAGCTCAAAAGCTTCTAAGCTAATTAGTTATGCATGACATCCATACCTAAAAATAGATATTGAGTAGAAAATTGCATGCATCACTTCTCCACTTGTGTACGAAATTACAGCTGAAAAGTACCTTAAATACAAATTTTACAACCGATATTGAAAATCATATTGTTGAGGTGATTCCAATACCCCTGTTACTATATTACAGGGATGAAAAATAAAAAAATAATCAAACCAGAACTATTTAAAAATATAGATTGAAATATTAACTTTTCTTGAAACACATTATTGGCATTGATTTTTTTATAATTTCGTTCAATTTGTTGTGTTGGGTTTGTGTTTTAGGAAATGAGTCTTAAAATAAAGAGATCTAGAGTTTTCAGACTTTTACAGCTACCTCCAAAAGGTGAAATTATATTTTTTAATGGATAGCTCAATTAGGGAAGGGACTACTACCAACAGGTCTAAATATTATACCCAAGAATTTGTGCAGAAACCAAATAATCTTATGAAATCTAGTGATAGAGAGTTAAATGATATAAATCACAAAAATCACAATAGAGGAACTGAGTTTTCAGATTGTGTATTATTATTATTGTATATAGTTTTTCAAAATGCTGAAAAAAAATTCTAGTGTGCAATGAACCGTCATTAACACATTCTCGTAATGTGAATTTAACTGCAACAGAAACAAAATCTGGGCTACGGTAGGGAGCTCAGATAGAAGATCATGTCGATGGAACTCTGAAGTGTGCAAGTTAGTTGGTGCAGTAGTAGTGAGGGGAGGTGAAGTTTTATGAATATTGAGACTTTTCTTCAATCTCTTCAGATTCACTCGACCAACAAGGTTTGTCAATGCCTCTTTTGTTGGTATTCTTTTTGACCGTAGTAAATCATGATATGGTCTGTCATTTGTACCTTGATTTCGAAATGTCCAAATTTCAAATTTTTTTAAAACTATTTTTTTATACCAATTGCTTGAATAAATGCAAGTTTTTATGGAAATAGGGGGTGGGGGAATTAAACTCTTATAAGAGGAGGAGGAGGATGAAATTATAGGAACACAAACCCAGGGATAATGTAAAGGTCAAGGAGAAAACTAGAAGAAAAAAAACAATAAAGATTTGATTTTGTTAATTCTTACAGACATTTCTGTATAATTGCATTTATTAATTTTTTCGTTGGAAAGCCAGTTTCTCACCTAAAATAGTATACATAGGGACTGTCTCTTCCTTTTTTTGTATTTGTTACAAATGAATATATCTGGTGAAGATAAAACATGCCTAACAGTTGCCACCTTGTCCACTAACATAGTGGTACTGGAACATTTGTACATATAAGAAAATCTCTCCCATCCAAGGTGAATTTTGGACAATTCTGAATCCTTTAATTTTTAATGCAGTGTGTAGGTGAAAACTTCTAGTTTACTTCAGGCCCCCCAACAAGCAGGATTAAAGTCATTGTGGCTTGGAAAATGCGCAGGGCATTGTCAAGATCTTGTCCTCCCATTACCCTTCTCTCTTATTTGGGTGATTTGCTGCACTCCTACATGCTTTGAGAATCTGGATAGAGCTTTTCATTTACACAGTTCTGTAAATGTTGTGAATTCATTCTCATTTTTAACTTCGCTTGCGTTTCAACTAAACTGTGTGAAGTGGTCAACCACACATTTTTCTTGGAATCAGTTGACTTAAGGAGATGATTAAGATCTAAGAAGAGTATTAATCAAAACATTGTGTATGTGTTATTTCTTTTTGGGTCTATCCATATTTCATACGGCTTCTTCAATTTTACATTTCTCTTACAATACATTCTTAACATTTTAGTTGCAGAATACTTACCAAAGTATGATTGCCATTTTAGTGGCTTTTTAATCTTACATTAAGTAATCAGGTTGCTTCTATGTGTTTATGTCTTTCACTCATGGATAGATCTCCTCCTGTCCACCTTTGGCACTAGGGAGATGTTATTGGTTATCTTGGTTTACTAGTTGGGAATTGATTGTTTTTTGCCGAATTCTTAGTTGTGGAGGGAGTGAAAGAAAACTATAGTGCATGGGGGGGGGGGTGAAGACCGTACAGACAGGTTGGGCAAAATACCGTAAATTTAGTCTATATTTAAATTCTTCACCAAAATACATTGTAAATGAGTACTCATACTCATAATACAGTAAATAATTTTGTATTATAACTTCTTATTGCAACAATATATTGTAATTGTCAGTTACAATAAATTACTAATTGATAGTCATAAATTTCTAAACAGTAACTAGCACTGAACACTTTCAAATATCAAAACATGTCTAATTCCAATAAACTGAATTTTCCAATAATACGACTTGTTTGTCAAGCAAATCGTCAGACCTCTAGTTTGGGAATGTATAAAACCCACAAAGGAAAACAGTCGTTCAACTTGTGCGGATGAACATAAACTAGTGTTATAAGGGATAAACACACTTTTGTCAGGTAATTGTCCAGCATTTTTAATGATTTAGAATTATCATTTAAAAATGAAATGGCTGAAAGGAGCTTTTATTATTGTTCCATTCACTAACAGAATTAAACAAAAAGAAACTACCCTTGTTTTCTTCTTCTGTATTTAAAATATTTCTCTTTTTAAATACACCTGCTTAATGTATTTAAATACTGCCCAGCCCTGCCTACAGATGTGATCAATACATCATTTGATTCCTCTCAGAGAGACAAATTTATTATAAACTTTTTAGGTGGTTCTTTGAAGAATTTTTTGAAAGAAATCTTTGTAAGAGAGTGATTTTGGAGTTTCAAAGCACATACAGTAGTAAAATGGTGTGCATTACCAACCTGCGTTCCTGGCCAAACTTGCATCATTACGTCTTGATTTATTAGCTGGACAATAATTAATTTTGAAATAAAACATATACATTTTTAAGAAGTATTTTTATCAATGTTACTTCGTTCCCCTTAGGATTGATAGCCAAATGTATATTTTTTTAAAAATCTCTTTTTACTATGTAGGACTTGCAAAAGTAAAAAAGTATACCAAATGTGGTTGAGGTTTTATCTATTTTAAATTTGTTACTTTTGGAGTTTTCTTGATAATCATTTCATTACAGTTTTTCATGTGATAAAACCTGTTTGGTTGCTTAAATTGAATTATGGAGTTAAGTGACATTTAATTATTATTTTCATACTTCTTTCATTGTCCTTATTTACTTTCTTTTTTAACAGATTTTTGGATTGGATTCCTAGCATATGTTGCCATTTATCAGTTGATGGCAGTTTTCTGAATCAGTGGGTGCCACTTATGCTACTTGAAGAATTTTCTTTGAAGTTCTGAAAAGCTACATCATCTTGAAGACTCAGGACTATAAACAAAATTTAATAAGTAAGAATTTTGAGCACCATATTACACAATGTGATGATACATGGTTGTCTGTCAACTATAGGTATGTTATGAAGACTAGTTGAAGTTTTTTGACTGGAGAATATTAACATGAAACTAGAAGATACTTTTGTTTGATGAATATTTCACTGATACAGAAACAGCAGATTGAATTTCATAATCCTTCCTTGTGCTACAACTAATAATTGAATAATAATATAATAATTATAACACAACTGAAAAATATGTATTGTGAAAATGGGTCAGTTTTATGTATGTATGAATAATTGTATGTATGTGTGAATGTAATGATATTACATAAATATAGATTTTTCATTTAACAGATTTATTTGAATTGTCACTGCCGTTACTGTTCATATTGGGACATAGGTTTGTGTTGTGTTAAGATACTATTTTTGAAACAAAATATGACAGTATCTGCAGGCAGGACTTTGTTTTATTTCATTATTCAATACTTGTCAATCTGATCTAAAAAATGTTTTTTGGTGCACAATGTGTATGTTATTTTCAAAAATTGCTTCCCCTACCAGTTACCTCATAGTTACAAACATGCCCAAAGGTACATACAAAAGAAAATGATTGTTATTAGCTGTATATTCTTATGTATTCCCTGCCTTTGCTCTGAAAGTTGTTGCTTAAAGTTTGGAGTGGTGCATTTTTGGAATGTACTACTCCATTTCTTATCTTCCGTCATTGTGACTACCTTGCCAGCAGTTGTGCCGTATTGGAAGCACCATCTTGAAGTTGCTTACCTGTCTGCCCATATAAATGTCACATAGAATACCCTTCTTCTTTTCTCTGAGCAATTTACGGTGTTACTAGACTGTGTAAAACGCTAAGATTTGGTGAAATGTTACATGTGTTCAGCAAACTAAAGGGGACACACATTAACAGAGCATATAAATAATAATTGACTAATACACATTGATTTCTTATTTGTTTTTAAAATTTGTAATATTGTGGTATGGCAAAAATGTAAGGCAGTGGTGCCTCATGCTGTACGCTGCCTGTCATGGGTGCTTTTATAAATAACCAATCAGTATCTTTTAATAATTTGTCACTTGAACGGTATGAAGTTTTTCTCATATTTTTTTAAATGTTGGTGAGCAACAAATATGTTAATTGTGCCATTCCGTACAATGCATGCAGAAAACAAATGATAATCATTTGACTTCCTTTGTGAAATGGGAGAAATGTGTTTAACAACAATTTACTTTCTTGAAATAAGTTGTGTGTTCTCAGATGTTTGCATATGGTATTCAGTGGTTTGGTACTATAGATTATTTGTAGTTTTTAAGCCTGAACTTGTGTAATTTTTGTGCCTAAAAAGATGTATATTCTCTTGTGTACCATCTGCTGCATTACATTGTTGTAAGCAAGAAAGTCGAATGTTTGAGCACTTTTCTCTCTCAAGAAACAAATATCTATTTTTAGATGTAATGAACCAAACCTGCTTTTCATATGCCCTTTTTACAGATTTATACACCAGTGTATTTTTATTTGCTCATAAACATTATAGAAAATGTAGATAAATTAGGAGAAATCTGTTACACCAATACTGTTAATTTATTTTTGGTACTGTGACAGGATTTCTTTGCAAATGCCTCGTGGAAGAACCAATATTATATTGTCAAATAGTTTCATTGTATCATAGGTAATCGTTTGGTTTATTTAAAAAATACAGTCTTAAAATTTGGATTTAAGGTTTATTTCTTAAAAGCATTGTACAGTGTTCAAGTAGAAATATTATGACTTAACATATTGAAGTGTTATTTTCACAGACAATGTGCCTTTAAGTATTAATATTCCTGTTGATTTGGTCTTTACTGGCTAACAATATTTTGAATCTTGGAAAAATTCATTCAGTATTTTAATCATTCCTTTTGTTGGAACTGAAATTTAAGTTAATTTTCAGTGTTGTATGAAGAAATATTTCTTGCAACCACTGTTTCTTTTGTGCTAGAAGCACTGACCTTTGAAGTTATGAAAATACTTGAAATAAAAATGTCAAAGTTTTGTGTTTGTTATCAGTTAACTTTGTCAAGAGAATAATTTAAGGAACTACTTTTTGGGCCAGAAATATCCAGGAATTCAGTAGAAATTGAGTGTGAGCCAGTGGATGTTGAGAAGGTGTGTACACCTTTAGCACCTGTTACACGAGGGTGAGGGTTGGCGTGAAGAACCAGTTTCACAGAGTATTATTGGATGGGTGCATAGTGTTGCATCTTTTGAAGTTTTTGGCAAATCAGCACTTAATGTTCAAAAGAGATTTTCCCAAAAAATTGCCCAAACGTTTTTTGTGAAGCCAACACTAGCACAATTCATCCCTATTCTTTAAAGCCTATTCATAGATATCCAATAACAGATTTGTTCTTTGTGTGTTCCACTTCAAATTTTGTGTGCAGAAAACGTTCCAGCGTCCCAACTCAACAAAATTTATTTGGATTATTTAACACAAAATATAACTTCTCTTGAACTATTCTCAAGTTAAAACTCAAAATTTCACGTGATGAGCTATTGGCAACCTGGAAATAGTCTGCTTGTAGCATATTCTTTTATTTTCTTTAGCAACCAAGCAAATGTCATTTGTATAAAAAGAAATGCGTAAATATTACTATTTTCAGGGGGAGGGATGTCATTAAAATACATCTTAAAAAACACTGTTGGGTGATGTAGAGGCTGTGGGATTAAAGGTACGTGTTGCGCAACTGGGTAGGGTAGCCTTTGACCAGGTCATAAACAGTTCTTAATGATGCAAGAATGATTATAAATTTGTTAGAGGAGAATGTGCTAACAAGAAAATTTTTCTCAAATATATTTTTAATTCTCTTCTCCCTTTTTAGTGTCCTGGATAGTCAAGTACCCAAAGTATCTATTTCTCAACTCCCCTTATGTCATTTCTGTAAGTATTTGACAGATTTTTGAAAGGGACTATTTGAAATTTAATTTTTGTAAAAATTATCTCAGCAAGACATCTGGCTCATCTTTCAATCAGTGTCATTGTTACTTGGATCTGATGACCACCTGGATTCCTATAACAGCTGTCCAAAACAAATGAAATTAATAAAAATTCAAATATCATTTAAAATATAGTTACAGGAATGCAATTGCTTCAAAAACCAATTTATGGAGCTACTGAAAGAAATGTTTAAAATACCAAAATTGAAAAAAACGAAAAAAAAGAAAAAGTAAATGTAGGGGCATTTCTACTCCAGAAGTTTGGTATTCAGTGATTCATGAAAGGTATTCCTTTTGTACTGCCATCAGATCTGATTGAAAAAAATTGCATGTTGGGGAGTGTGAGTGAAGCTGCATGTTCACTGAAGATTTTAGGTTTATCTTTGACAATTTATCAAAGCATACATTGTTCCAGAAGCAAAGTTTCTCATCTTACAATAAAAGGTCAGTGAATCTTGAACCACTTCATGAACACAAGAACTTCCCACATAAAAATTTTGTTTCAAAGTATATTTTCCTTTAGGATAATTTCAAGGAATCTTATTTGGACCAAACAGTGGTTAATTGTGAAAGATATCAGAGCCATATTGAACTTGCTATTAATTTTTCCCCAAGAATATTTTCATGTACCCTGTTTTTTTTTTAAAACTAGGTGTGTCGTACTCCGTGATTATAATGAATTTACAAAAAAATAAATTGTTAATTGAATGATGGAGAAAAATTCGTTTTGTATGCCTTTATTTTGTACATCCATGCTGAGTACAGGCAGATCCAGCTGAGCATTTTGGGTGGGGGCATTGTAGTTTTGGTTAAATCAAACATATTTGTTATTACATTGTGTATTTATGTACTATAGATAGGATACTACACAATATTGTTTAAATAATTACATAATTTGAACATAGATATTTAATCAATTTTTCCAAATGAAATAGATATGAAAACTCTAGGGCTTTGGGGGGGGGGGCATGACCTCCGCCCCTGATCCGCCAGTGGCTGAGAACTTTGTCCGTCCGTGATGGTGGGGGTTGTGGTGTGGATGTGGTGAAATGTAATTCTTTCATCACGAAAATGTCGGAACTTGTGGGCTTTTCAGATTAACTGAATTGTCATGTCAACTTTATATTTTCCAAATATTCATAGTATTCTCAATGTTTCGTACCTACTTCACTAATTAAGACGTTGCGTTCGTAACTTGTTGCGGATCACAATTATGAATTATCGTGGTTGATTTGACGCGTGAACATGACTAAGGGATGCTGCATGTTCATACACTCAAAAATATTTTCGGACAGTGCTCATCTTACGTTGAACACCTGAACCTGTTAAAATCATAAAATATTGTTCCAGTAATAATTTTATTATTCTTTTAGCTGTAAATACTATACACAGAAAAATGCGCTTTTTCTAAATTTAAATCAATAATTCATCATTTGCATTAGAACGTCCAATAACGGAATATGCACATTAAATAAATATTTGGATTCGGGTTTATCAATCATTTTTGTCAAACTATTGGGCGAAAACAGATGTAACTTTTCCCACGGTTGTAGCGGTCAGTGTATTACTGTCTCTCCTTGGAGAACGTTGAAATAATTTCTCGAAAAGGAAAGAACAGCTCTTTCGAACTCCGTCTGTTATCTTTCATAATGCAAAAGGCAAGAGCTGCCGTGACATTGCAAAAAATCTGAATGTGAAGAAAAGTACGGTATATGATATAATCAAACGGTTTAAATAAGACGATAGGATTGAGTCTGACCGCACAAGTCAACGTCCCCATGAAATTTCTCATCTAGAAGAGATAGTGGAAGGTTAAAAAGAATCCCAAATTAAGGGCACCGAAGATTGCTAGAGGTGAGAAAATAACTGGGCAAGAAAGTACATCGAGAAACAATATTAGTGATTCTACGAAAAGCAGAATTTCAGGATCGCGTGGCTAGTAGAAATCCTTTCATAAATAAGATGAAAGGAAAAGGCGAGAGTTCGCTGGGGAACATACAAACGAGGATATTGAGTGGTGGAATCGAGTAATATTTTCGGACGAGTGTAAATTCAATATTTGGATCTGACGCAAGAAAATTGGTGTGGAGAAGGGCAAACACAGTTGCATGAGAAGAATCTGGAGCCAACAGTGAAACACGGAGGTGGGAGCTGAATGGCGGCGAGTGGGTGAGTTGAACTCAGTGAGTTATAGATTTTACCAGAAAACTCGTAGACAGCATGCCAAAGAGGTTGAATGAAGTTTTGTAAATTAAAAGTACTCACTACATGTTATTGATGTACTTATTTTTTGTTTTATGAATTAGTTAATATAATGCGTCCGAATATATTTGAACGTTCCGAAGTATTACGTTTTCTTCAAATTTACTGTAATTTAATAATTTTTAATATGGAAATTAAACTTGCGTTTTGTTCTAAAATATGAAATATGTGCCTTTCATTATTTACAACCACAATTACGATAAGTTTTATATTTTCTTGTAAATAAAAGAAAATAGGGAAAATCGTAGGTGTTCGAATATTTATGAGTGAGAGTAGTTAATATGTCAAGCGCGTTTGGTAAACGTTTTATGTTTAGGACGACTTCCAAACCCGAGGTGTTGGAAGTCACCTGAAGAGCAAAAACTTCAATAACCTCATGATGTATACAAATTTCGTGGTTGACTGGCCCTTTGCTGAATGAAGCGGAATTCGAAAACTCGTTAAATTTATTTTGCATTCAAAGACTATCGTAGTCGTCAGTTGTTAATACGGTGCCAGATAAAAACTTCGCTTCTAACTACAATTGAAGGACTTTGCTCTAGAGCCTAGAGAGTCATATGCTACATCGAACTTATTCTGTGAATAATACAAAAGTTTCAATCCGACGTTCCTCGTCATTCCATGTCTCCGAAGTATAGCGCCATTTTTATATGTACCGTGTACCATTACATTGGATTTGGCAGCCCCGACGTGATCCTGGTGCGAGAGTTGCACTGAACCAGGGCGGCAAACAATTAGAATACTTATTTAAACTTTGAAAGAAACGAAACAAAATTTGTAATATATATCAAAGAGCAATACACTTTTAGTCCTGGGAGTTACTAAATTTAGAAGTATAACCATACATTCAAAAGTTTATATTTCGTCGATCACATGAAATAAACCACCACCACCTAGACATAGAATTAATGTATTAATCAAGGTAGTGTTGAATAAACAGGAAAAAATATTGTGCGGCATTGTTCTGTCTGTGGTCATCGCTAGCGCCCAAGCTGTTCAGACGGTTTTTTCAAAATTGATATTCCTTCATCGATTTAGAGGAACTCGAGGCGAGTTTGAAACGGATATGTCGAATTTTTGCAGTACTACAGTACATGAACACTCAACAACAATTTCGAAATTCTCTCAAAAACCGCATCATTTTTTATGGAACATTCTCCTTGGATAGCGAACTCTTAAAAGAACGGCACATCTCATTTTTCGTTGAAGTTGATTTTTCGAGAATTGCCTAAGTTCGACATATTTTCGGTGACTTTCTACAACTACAATTTTGAAGACAGTGATTTTTCCTCATAAAATCTTGCTGAAAGAAAGTTCTTGAAATATAGTCAAGTGCAGTTTAAAAAAACATGAGTTACTTTCACTGAATTTTGCGTGAAATATTAGCAATTAAACAATTATTTCACAGGAACGACTCCATTTTTTCCTCGTACGTAGCAAAGCGAGGTTAAAAAATGGTGCTGGTCCCATTTTCGCAACCGGTGCACATTGCAAAATCAAACTGTGATTTCGAAAATTGCGAAAGTAGGTAGTTGATGGTAGAGATTTTTGTCTTAATGAAATCAGTTCTAAAAACTAGATATTTAAAGAACACTTCGTACACATTTAAAAAAAATAGTTTTCATGTAATTTCTGATTGGCGTTGCTGCAATTTATAAAAAAAATACTCAAAAAGGCCCCAATTTTTTTCGTATTTTTTCTAAGATAGAGTTATGAACGATTAAAATGTCTCTTTTTCCTTGAACTGTCTGAATTTTCGAATTTTTTAAAACATTTGTTGAGACTTCGTCGACGCTACGCGTCTCTGAACCCTTGTTGCGCATTGAGCGCCTGGCATGGAGTAATCCTCCCTAATTGTTTTTGACAAGACTCGTCACATCGCAGTCAGTCAGTGCCTTTTATCCCTTCGATTAGGGACTCGGAGCCGGTAGATTCCGGGGTTTCTTGACGTCACCCAATCAGGAATCCGCAAAGTCTCGAATTCCCCTAACCTCCGTGACTTCACAAGAGAATAATTCGGAAATTCGGCCAGCGACGCCGGCAATTAATAATGCTAGAAATTGCGAGAAAATATGAGCTTTTTTGAGCTCCACTAGTTTTATCGAAGTTATGTTTCACTGCTTAGAGCAGTGACAGTCGTAGTGGCGTACGAGTATACAAAAACTTTCGGCCGCGTTTTCACTCTTAATTCTTAATTATGACAGTAGTACAAGTAAAAATGTAGGTTGACGCCCAATCTGGTCGGGCTTAGCTTGTGACGCTATTAAAGATGGCAAGAAACTTCATTTGGACACAGAAATGTCTACACACTTTTCGATATCTCGTATCGTTTTTGAGTTAGGGTGCACTGTTTGAATATGTGAAGTAAAAAGTTTTCTGGAGGTATAAAAATTGTCATTTGAAGCAAATTTTAGAAAAGTACCTTGCGATTCCTTTTCCGATTTTGATTCAATTTTGTATGCCGAGTCCCACAAATCTCAAAGGATCCTGTCTTCTTGAAAGGAACAATCAGACATCGCAATAATTTTGATGAAATGCTGAGCACTGCAACTGAGCTTGTTAATTCGTGCAATGTGGATGCAGCTCCCCCCTCACACACACACACACCTACATGTAGTCGAAAAAAGAATACTATATTCGGTTATGAACATGAAGACGGTAGTACAAATGATCCAAAAAGCAATTTCCGCAAACCGTATGAACAGAATTACCGAAGAGAGATGACTATTATTGACACTACAGTTTCATCTATAGAGGAAAGGTTTCAATTGCTTAAAAAACAAAGTGGTGCGTCTAATTTTCTGTCTTCAACACACTAGCAGGAATTAGTTAATCAGACATATTAAACTAGTAGTGCAACGGAATGGCAAAGACTTTCCCGTATTAGATGTCTATTTCCTTTGGTGTCGGCTAGCTACACGAACTTGCCTCATTCTCTTGCCAGCTGCCATCATTTCCCTGTCTAAAA